ACTGACACTAAAAACTTGGGAAGTGGATACAGATCGAAATCTCTATTAAAACAAAAATAATCTTACATTCACAGCCACTAACTTGGGATTCCTGAATTTAAAGCTATTTCAGGGAATTCCATAAAAGTGGGATTCCATAAAAGACTGTCCCCACTAATATGAGCACAGAATCAGGGTCCCCGGTTTTCTCTTACACAGTGTACTGTTACTGGAAGAACTTCCTTATGAAACCCCAGCCTTAGAATTGAGATACCATTCCTTGCACACACAAAAGCACCTTCAAGCACAGCAAAATAAAAGATCCTCATACAAATCTTTGTTAAAACATTTTAATAAGTATGGGTGTAAGGCACTCAGGTACAGAAAGGGAAAAGACTCCCCTGTTATCAGCTGGGAACTCCGTGTGTTACGTCAGTGAGGTATCAGATACTTTTTGTAAAGGGGAATTACATAATGTACATGACAGTCACCCTACCTGTAATTCCAAAGAAACAGTCCTGTTAAAGGCACACACAGAGTGAACAAAGGGATTATTTTAAGCTAGCAGATGAGAAACAGGCTTTTAAGAAGTTGGACACACAGACAGCAGTTTTGCAACTGAATCCAAGAATATCCAACAGCTTATCCATGTAAGAACAACTACTGGAAATGGAAAAAGCTTCAAAAAAAAAACCAAAACAAAACAAAAAAAACCACCATGGATTGAAAAGTAAATATTTAAAGGATATATTCAAAGATAACCCGATACCCTTCCACTCTGTTTTGGGCTCTACCCACTATTCCAAATGGAGGTACCTTCCACTTTTTTGTTCTTAGAAAAACTATGTAAGAGCAAGCAATATTAGGAAGCAATATACTGAACAGATTAACCAGACTTCTGAACACATCACTTTTATTCAGAGAAAAACTTTATTCTGGGAATGAGATTTAAAAGTCTGAAGTTAAATTATAACCCTTTTGCAGGAAGGAAGGAACATAACAAACAGCTTTTAAGGGCATATTCCTCCTTTCTACACAAACATGTTGTTGTTTGGAATGGGGTGGGAAGAGTTTTACCGCCATTACAACAGTCATAGGCTGAGGCAACCGTGAAGCTAGTGTTGATGTTATAATGGAAACACCTCTGCCCAGCTCTAATCTGTAGTACCAGCAAGTGATTCATTACAAACACCGTGACAAATCATGAGGAGTGATGAGTTTGGTATCCTCCCTGGCATTTGCCTCTTCCAAGTGAGCTGGCTCACAGCTGTCCCAGGGCCTGGGGTGGTTGCAGAGGGTTGGAACAAGCAAAAATGGATGAAAAAAAAAAACAAAAAAGATTTTCTGTTTTCATTAAAACCCGAAACTCTCTAAGTTAAAAGAAGACATTTTGATCACGCACCTTGAGAGGAGAGGGCACACGTTCCCCATTTCTGACAAAACAAAACAAAAAAAAGAAAGAAAGAAAGAGCAAGAGGCTGTGGAGGGTGGGCTTCACCCCCACCACCCTGGACCTTCCCACAAAGAACCAGCAGCACAGCAACGAGGAGAAAGAGAAAAGCAGCGAGAGGCCACGGTTGTGTGGCGGCGGCTTGAAATTTACCTGGAAATCAGCCAATATCATTTCTCGGTCCATGTTGGACGCCATTGCAGCCAGCTGCGTCCCCGGCTCTGCTCTCACCCGCGCACCTGGAGCTGCTGCCGGCGAGGACGGGGCAGGGTGGGAGCTACGAGCTCATCGAGGCGCCCGGTTCCTCTCGGGCTCCCGCGGCGCGCTAGGGGCTGCCCCAACTCAGCAACTCGGCGCGGCGGCGGCGGCGTGCGGAGGAGAAGGAGGGGAGAAGGGAGGAGAGAGGCGAGCGGGGCGCCGGGAGCGGGCCGGGACCGGGAGCGGGCAGCGCTACCTCAGCCGCTGGCCCGGGCGGCAGCAGCAGTAAGAGGAGGAGGAGGCAGCGCCGCTCCCTCCCTGCCTCCACAGCGCCTGTCGCACATTTTGCCTGTCATTGAGGTCGCAAAGAGGCGCTTTGCGGCCGCCACGTGACCACCCTCCTGTCAAGCGGCCGGGAAGGGCGGGGCCGAGGCGAGCGTGTGTTGCCCCCCCCGCCGCCGCCGTCCGTCCCCGCCGCCGTCCGTCCCCCCCCTTGCTTCCCGGACCGGCCGCGGCCCCGCGGTGCAGAGCAAAAGCCCCGCGGCCCAAGCGTAGGCCCTTAGTGCGGGACGGGCCGCCTCAGCACCGAGGAACCGCGGCCCGTTCTCAGAGCGGGGTCAGCGGCTCCTCCGAGCGGGCGGGGCAGCTCCGGCCCAATGCTCGGCCGGCGGCAGCGCTGGCGCTGACACCGTCCGCCCTCTCCCATCGGTTGGTGGCGGCTCCCCGGGCCCGGCTAGGCTCCGCTACCGGCTGCGGCCTAACAGCGAGGGGAGGGCGCTGGCTGCAGCGAGCCTGGGCCCGGCCCGCCGTCCCGGGGAAGGGGGGGGGAACAAGGGCCGCTGCAGGCGGAGGGCGGCTGTGCCCCGTCAGTGCCGCCGCGGGATGGCGGCCGCAGCAGTGAGGGCAGTGACCCGGTCCCCAGCGCGGCTTGCGGCTGCTCTGACAGCCCGGAACTGGTGCTCGCTGAGTGACCTGATATCCAACCGCGGGCCCGGGGGCACGCACCGACCGGCGGCCGCGGGCAGGTGGTGGTTTCCTCCCGGTTTTGTACTTCTTTCGAAAGGAGGACGTGCGTTTTCCACAGGTTTCTGAGCCAACAGACCGTGATCTGCACAGCGGCCCTCGCTCCAGCTTAGCGCTCCAGCACTGTAAAAAGCACTTGCATTGTATACCCCAGATACATCTGTTTCCTTTAAGTAATGCAAAACTAACTACTTAATGCTTTTTAAGTCTGCTTGCTACAACCTGATGCCGTTCACCTACCCCTTTAGCATGCATTTGGAAGACAGCTTGCTAATTAGCCCGACGTGTCTTGCTGTGCTCTTCGTATGGGCGCCGCAGCTAGCTGACGTCCCAGACACATCCAGCACCTTTCCTGTTCGCTAATAAAGCCACACGATGGTGCCTTGAACCAAGTTGTTTTCTCGTTTTTAGGAAACACTGTTCTTTATCTGTTTCCTCTCTCTCCGTGAGGGTTATGGACAGGTTTCCCGGACTCTGCGAGCTCCTTGCCGCCGGCCGCGCTGACACCGGGGAGAACCCGGCACTACCGCACCGTTCGGCGGTGGGACAGACCGAACACTGTCTGCGGATGGAGGAGTAGGAAAAGACAGCCTGTACCTGCAGGAGAGCCCGTGTTCCCAAGGAAAATACTCCTGGGATTGTTTAAAGCCTGTTTGCGAGCGCAGCTGGGAAGCTGCAAGGCGCCGGGGCCGTTCGGGGTCTGCAGGCGGGCGAGGCCACACCGAAACGCCACTTGCGGTGTAAAACCAAGTGTCAGAGACGTTGGGGGTTATAGTTTATAGTGTTCCTGCTCTAATTTGTGTTAGCAGAGTTTGCCAAGAGAGGTTTTATTGCCCGCTGACATTAGCTTCACAATTCGAGCTCCCCACCACCGGGATGATAAAGTAATTGCCCTCGCACCTAATCTTATTTGTTTTACCTTTTTTTCCCCCCTCCGGTTTGGTATTACAGACAGTTCTGTACAAGGTATGGTGCAATGCCAGGGACAGCCTATGCTAAACTACAAACAAATCCACCCACACATTACTAGAGAGTAACTATAATAAAGGCTGAAAAGCGAGTTTTAACAGTTGGATTAAAGCCAATTAGTTCCTGGCAGGAACTGAAGCTATAGGTATGTTGTCGAGGTTAGTTACCCGGCGTTCACGTCTATTACAGCCATATTTAAAATAATGATATCTATATTAGATCAAAACAGGAAGGATTTGGTCCAGAACGTGAAGAAAAGGTGAAAAGATGCACGTGTGCCCTGCACCGCAGGAAGTTCACGATAGAGTCACGGTGAAAGTTTGTGCTCTCCTCCTCCCATCCCCTCACCGGGAGCCACTCGAGGTGCTTCTCGTCCTCCAACCAGTCAGACAAACCGGGGCGCCGGGGGAACACTCACTCATTTAACTCCTCCCAATGCCCGGTGATAATATTTCCCCTAAGAAGCTGTTTCTTACGCTGGTTTTAGAGCTGATCGGGGCAACTCTTTCTCGTTCAGGAGAAGTATCTTGATCGTTGCGGAGAGGAAACGATCAGGATTAACCAGGTGCTCTCTGCGAGGGGTTTTGACAGCTCCACACGGCGAAGGCGGTTTGACGGCATGTTCCAGCCGGGCAGCTGTACTCGCAGGAGGCCTGCAGCACCCCGGCCGAGCTTCACTTCACTATTTTTGTGATGTGTGTGATTAACAGAAAATGGGGCTTTATTCTGAGCTCTAAAACAGACCAAAAAAAAAAATGGGGAGACTGTTATAAGACCGGCAGTTCTAATTCTGCAGTGAGTTAGCAACAGGTAACACCACCGAAGCCTGTGGATTTTAGGCATTAAATAAGTTATTTATAAGCCGTCTGACTGAATATTCGAAGTTTTGCATATAAATTTCCTTTTTATGCAGAAAAATAACTGTAGTTGAATACAAGGATGCTATTTATATATTTCTCGAGTTAACTTTGAGGGAAATTATCGTTCACATTTTTTGTTAAAAGAACTATTAACACTGTTACTTCTGGCCGAGAATTATCATAATGAGGCCCATAAAGCTGCGCCTTTTAGTGGGAGCGGGGGTCACTCGATAACCTAAGCAAAGCCGTTTTCCCTGCTCCGCAGGCAGACAGTTCGTTACTTGTCACCTTCGTGTTTTCACAGACAAGCGCGGGGCGGAAAACGAGGGGGGGAGATCAGGACAGGAAAAGGTGACTGCGGAGCAAGAAGCAGCCGAAGCTAGCAGGAGAGAGCCAGACACAGAAGTCACACCGGGTTCCTTCAGCAGCCCCCCCCCGTACCCGGGTGCAGGGTCACCCCTGTAAGGCTGGTTCTGGCGCTGCAAGTCGGGATCGAGAGGATACGTATGCTTATCAGGGAGCCATGACATTGCATCTTACCTCTCGAAGTTGCCTTTGGCGAAATTCAGTGTCCCGAGGGTCCCTGAAACTTAGAGCAATCCGGCCGTTAAAGCAGACATTCAAAGCTGTTAGGCAGAATGGCGCTGAGATCCCTGTGCTGTTTGTACCATCCTCACTTCGCCGCCCTTTGAAGGAAAAGCGAAGCCCTCACGTCCTCTCGGTGGCTGGGTGCGTTTCTCCCTCAAAATGGCACTTCCGAATCAATCAGGGATGCCAGGAACGCGGAAAGCAAGGAGCGCTGCCGTGGACGGTCACCTTCCACCGTTAAGACAACTTGACATTGACCCTTCATCCTTGACCTTGTCCTTGGGGACAGGAGCCCGCGTCGCTGCCGGGGTAAACCCCGGCCCCGGAGCCGCTGTCCCGCGGGGTGCCGAGCGAGGGCGGCGGGGCCGAGACCGAGTCTGGGTGCGAGTCCGGGTCCGTTCCCCCCGCGGGCAGGTGGAGGCAGCCCGGGGGAAAGCTGCGGATAGAGCTGCTGGTGGAAGCCGCCCTCCCGCCGCCCGAGCTTCCCCCATCCCCGGTCCTCCCGCCGGGGCGCGGCGGCTCCCGCTGCTAAAACCTCCTTTTCCTTTCATTTCCGCCCCCCCCCCCCCCCGTTCTTCTCCCCCCATAGGCCTCAGCACCGCTCCACCTAAAAGCACCCTGACTGCTATGCCTGTAGCGGGGCAGCGCCGTGCCCGGGCTCTGCAAGGCCGGGTAACGACACAAGGAGCCGCGGGCCGGGGCTGCTGCAGGCCTTCCTGCCCGGCCGCGCCGCAACTCCGCCGCGCCTCCTTAAATCTCTGCCGTTAAAATGTGGGCGGGTGTTTCAACTCAAAAAGCGCTCAAATTTTTTTTCTTTTCAAAAAAAGCTGATGAGGTTAAAAAAAAAAAAAAAGGGAGGGGGGGGGGGGAAGAGAAGAAGGGAAAAAAAAAAAGAGAGAGAAACCGGCTTCGTGTCCGTAGGAAACAGAAGTAGCAATTGTTTGTGCTTAAAAAAGGGGGAGCGCAAAGCCGCGGGCGGAGGCAGCGACGGCGGGACCGGCAAGTGCAGCTTTATTTCGCGAAGTTGAAAGAAGAGGCGAGCGGCGGCTGTCACTGCGCGCCGGGCCGGGCACGGAGCGGCCCCTGCCCGGAGCTCACCCTCCGCTCCCCGCCGGGGCGAGAGGCGCGGCTGGCGGCGGGCAGCGGTAACAGCGGCACCCTCCGCCCCGCCGCCGGTACCGCCAGCACCCGGCGCTCTCCTGGATGCTCCGGAGCCGCCGCCGCCGGGGGCGGCCGCCGGCCGGGATCGCGCCCGCCCGCAGCGCGGAGGCTGCGCGGGGCCGCGGGAGTGAAGCTGCTGCGGGGAGCGGGAGCACCGAGGGAGCCAGCTCGGCGGCTGAGCGCCACGGGCGCCGCCCGTCCGACCCTGCCGTGCTCGGCCCGGACTAGAGAGGCGGCGGCGTGGGATGCCAAGGGGGGACCGGGATCCCGAGCGGGAGTTGGATGCACACTGCTACGGAAGACTGATCCTCGGAGCTGTTGCTGCTAAGGCTCAGATCCCGGCTGTGAGCAAGGGTGGGTTGTCTTCTTCTTCCAAGATCTCAGGTCTGAGTGAGTCTCCGGTGTACGTGTATATATGTTACCTATAACATATATCATATATCGCATAGCTCTTAACCTACCCTCCCCCCAACCTCCCCGAAAAGAGGCCAAAGTCTCTCCTAGGAGTTTACTCTATATGTGGAAGCAAAGAAATCTTCTTTCAAGTGGAGCTGCACTTTTTGCCGAATAATCACGTGTGAGTTAGGGGCGGGCTCTTGGCAAGGAGGTTTTTTACGAGTATTTACTACAAGGTCTACTCCAGAAGATTAACCATCCCAATCCTTCTGTCAGCCTCCGATGCCATGCCTGGGTAAAAAAAAAAAAAAAAAAAAAAAAAAAAAAAAAAAAGAGAAAAAAAAAAAGAGAAAAAAAAAATTCTCCTCTTTTTTCCGATCGTCAGTCACCCTAAAGAATGGCCGAGCCTTCTGGGAACGAGCTGGCGTCCGCGGCTGCCAAGGGGGACCTAGTGCAACTTACTAATTTGTTGCAAAAGAATGTAAACGTCAATGCACAAAATGGATTTGGGAGGACTGCGCTGCAGGTTGGTATCCAGAGAGGGAGGACAAAAAAAAACCAAATGGTTCATCACTGGTACCTCCGTGAGCCGGGGTGCCAAAAAAGACAGCGTACTTTCTGATTTTGGTTGTGAGAGCAGGCTGGTGGATGAAATTCGAGTGGTTTTTCAAACTCGTTGGATGCCGTATTTTATAACTTTACTGGCTCCAACTCCCTAAAATGACGTACTTGAAATAAAAACTGGTCAAAACCATGATTTCAACCGGGGAATCACCCTCAGTGTCAAACGGGCTGAGAGTTTGCTGATATTTTGTAACTTCGTGGGGAGGAGGCAAGGAATGAAAGAGCTGAGATGAAAAGAAATCAGCTTAGGTGAGCAGGATTTCATAGCAGGTCTGTAAACACCAATGTGCTGTTCTCTGAGCTTAGGATTTCTCTATTTTTTCCTCTGTGTTTTTTTTTTCTCCTTGCTTTTTTTTTTTTTTTTTGCCTGCGATCTGCTTTTAAAGCTTGGCTCTTCTCGGGTCTGGGGCTGCTGTAGATGGTACTTTTCCTTTCTACGTTGTTTGTGAGGAATGACCTTTCTCATCGGGAAGCATGCTGCTCCGCACCGAGGACCTCCGATGCACATTCAGGCTTAGCCCTACGAGTCAGGGATCCAGCCGGATCACTTGCTGCTTTTTGCTTCTTCTTCCTTTTATTTTCCATTCATAATTAGGGCTTTAAAATGTGCTTTTTTCAGCTCGGCTAGCAGGGGCACAGCTTCCAGCTATTTCCTTTCTGATCGTATAGGGTGCTATGTCCTAATTTTTAAGTGTGTGGCTGTGCAAGGCAGGAGTTGGAACTCGTCCAGCTGTTGGAGCTGATGAAAGATTTTGCTTTTAATAATATCAGATAATGATAGCAAAAAAGGTTAAAATATCTACAGAAAAGCTAAAGATGTGATTTATAAATCTGGAGGGAATAATAATAACAATAATAATAGCGATGTGTGGTTATTTGTATACTTAAGGTATAAGTAATGAAACGTGGAAGTGCAGCTATAGATCTTAATTTCTCAATGTTAGAAAAATCTTTTGTTAACTCTTCTTCCCCCCCCCCCAACCACAACAATAATTGCTTGAAAATGGGATTTTAAAAAGCAGAGAGCTTGCGAATGTACCCGAGATATTTACAACTTTTTGGCTTACCATCAAAACGCTAGAGCTGGAAAATGAGCCCCTCTTGCTAAAAAAGCAGCACTGACCCTTTTTTGACCATTTCGCTGGAGCTGGGGCTCTGTGAGCTCCTCTCTGCCCTGTTAGCACCTAAATAGGGCAGCGCAGGGCAGCGCAACTTGCAGCAACTTTTAAGAGAGTGAAAGGGTTTAAATTAACAACTTAGACAAACTAACTTCTTTAAGAAAGCAGGAAACATTCATCAAGCTGGTTTATCCTGGGGACAGGGGCTGGAAACCGATTTGTCCCACAGTAGTGTATTTATTTTTTTCCCCTTAAAAGCAGCTAACTGTCCGTATCCTGCATTAAGGCATATTTTACACAATGATCCAGCACCCAGCTCTATTTAAACACACATCTGTGTCCTAACAATGCTTCTTATCGCTGCCTAATTATATCTGAGTTAATGAACCACGGCAAAAATCAGAACAGGGGAATCTGTCGACTTATTTTCAATATGTATCATCGACCACACTCGAAAGAGCTCTCTGTCAGTGCCCTCTCCCAAACGGAGATAATCTCTCTATAATCTCTCCCTCAATTAAAACGGGGTGAATGCTCCTGGATTAATACCAATGAATTTATATTTTTCTCCTGCATTTATGTTGAATTAAACAACTGCTCAGCTTGTCTTGCTCTGCCCTTTTTATTCCTGGTGAAGTGTACCTATGCAGGCCTCAAATACATCTCCTGCCCTAATGCTTTTCGTCAGCCTTATTCTATTAATGCTTTCTCCTTCTTTGCCTCCCTCCCCTCGAGTGAAACTTTGCAAAATAAAGGGCAGTCGCTGTGCAGTTGTAGCCCACGACCCACGAGCATCACCTTTTAGATGATTTTCCCCCCCCCCCCCCCCCCCATCTGTAACTGAAGCCTCTGGTCCTCTGAGCCGAACACAGAAAACTCCCAAATACATGTTTTGAATTCCCAAATAATGCAGCCTGGGCTCTCCAAAAGAGATCAAAATGTCCGGATTTTACTAAAGAAAGAGAGATCGCAATGCCCTTGTTTTCTTTTACATCTCTTCCATCTCTGGTCAGAAGTGAAAGAAGTGGCACACAGGCAGCTGGAAGCCTTGGGGCACAGAGAGATCCCTTTCCCTGAATCCCAGATCTTTTTCCCTGAATCCTAGCCTGTCTTATCTGCACTTTTTCTCTGGTCTGTAGATAGAATATACCGGGCTGCTTTACAGCCCACATGCTGCACTAATTGTGTTTATTATAGCTTGCTTTTCTTAAACAGCCTAACCGAGATTTCTCACCAGGAGAGTTTTACAGCAAAACCCCTTGTAGAAATCGTACCTTTTGCTAAACCCAAGGCACTGTCATGCTCGTTTATGCAGATAATTTTTTTTACCAAGATTTTCAAATCACTTTTGGCGTTTCTCAGGAAATAAAAAAGGTTTTTATTGTTGTTTTGACTCGAATTTGACACTTGCACTGGGACTAATGGCAAGGACAGGAAAATGCTGCCCATAGGCTGGAGATTATACATTACTGCGTTCATGTAAAAAACCCTTTGTGCTGACAAAAAAATATAGGAATTTAGGGGGAATCGGTGCAGGATGTGAAGTCTCAAATAAGAGAGATTTGGGTTCGAATTATGATAGTTTTATGACGCAACTGAAAAAATTCAAATAAGCTTTTTTTTTTTCCTCTCTGAGAGAAACAGAAAATCCAATTATTGTTGTTGTTGTTTTTCAAAAAGGGCTGTTTTTAACAGCAGAATATAGCCACGGTTTGCTCAGATTGAAATGATGAAAGTAGAATGTAATGTACTGGGTTGAGAAGGAAACTGCTGGGACTTTGAGACATTCCTTGTAACTTCTCCTTTTTGGGTGACCTAACGCAGCACAAATATAAGGGAGGGAAAATTTCTTGTAGCATTTATTTGTCTTAGCAGACAGAGCTATGGTACAGTGCAAATATTTGTTTTATGATAATGCACAGACAATGTAAACACCTGAGAGCTTATAAAAACACACGGCACATTTGCTGTTGCTGAGGTGAAATATCTGCTCCTCAGAGACCCTGGGCTGGGTGTTTAAGGAGATTAAAGAGTAATGCAAAGGTGTCTCAGGGCTGAGGCAAATGAAACCAAACCGTGCTTAATGTTTGTGTGCTGAGAAACTGAGATAACCCACATCAAATAATAATAATAATAATGATAATAATAATAATGGTATAAAAATCTCCATTCTATGTCACCTCCTCCAGTCATTAATCTCTCTGAGACAGAAAGCCATTACCACCGAAGTGATAACATCTTTAACCGGGTTTAGTGAAAAATACATGAAAAACCAGATGTTCTGCTGTGCCGTTAGCTTTCTAGGGGGGCTCCCCTGTCTGCTTGACATGAGGATTTGAGCCGAAGCAGAACCCAGGGATAAGCACTGAGCATCTAAACCCTGTGCTGGAGCAATTCCCCCACCCCATCCCTCGGTATTCAACTCTTCTTCATCTCTCCTAGGTGATGAAGCTGGGGAACCCCGAAATTGCCCGGAGGTTGCTAATTAGCGGCGCGAACCCCAATCTGAAGGACAGTACTGGCTTTGCTGTAATTCATGATGTAGCCAGAGAGGGGTTTCTGGACACTTTGCAGACTCTGCTGGAGTTCAAGGCTGATGTGAACATCGAGGATGATGAGGGGAACCTGCCCTTGCACTTGGCGGCCCGGGAGGGGCACGTTCGGGTGGTGGAGGTCCTTCTGGCCCGTGCGGAGTGCAAGGTGGGCCACCAGAACAAGCGGGGGGCCACTGCCTACGACCTGGCCAAGCTCTACAAGAGATCTGCCGTGGTGAAGCTCTTGGAGGGCAGCAGCTTCTCCCCCGCAGCCATGGATTAAGCCCCACTCGGACACTGAGCCTTCACCCTCCTCAGTATTTTTTTGTTCTCCTCCTCCTTTTTAATAACATTCGTTGCAACCTTACTTCTATTATTATATATATATATATTATTTTTTCTCCCCCACTCCTGAACAGCTGATAGTGTAAGTCTCAAGAAATTCTAGAGGTGGGTTTACAAGTAACAGAAAGGCTTTAAACCCGCGCTCCCAGCGATTTCTTATGCCTGCCATTTACAGCCTACTCACAGACTCAGCCGTGTACATGCCGGTCGCTCATACCTAGTTTTCCAAGTATCAAGTTTTAGGATTTATTGTAGGTCATTCGTATTAAGTCATTAATACATATTCACATGCTTAATGTTGCTGGGCTTTTAAGGAAAGAAAAGAGCTTATTGTGATTTCTCTCACCTCTCAAAGCTCCCCCCCCCCTCCAATGCCCTCCTTTCGCCATCCCTTATTAGTCAGGCTTAAGGGTTTGAAAACCTGCTTTTGGCTTAAAACAGCTTTTCGAGGGGTAACCTGCACCTCCCTGCTCGGGCAGAGCTTGAAGTCAAAGGCAGTTTGGCCTGAGGACAGAGGACGGCGCTTAGAGGCTTTGGGGAATAGCTGCATTTTGACACTAGCAACAGCTTGTAGCAGTAGGTCACTCGCTTTCCAAACGTAGATGACACTTTTCCCCTTTCAGTATTTAAACTTCCACCAACCTGATTTTGAATTGAGTTACCAGAAAGAGTGTAAGTGGTGGTGTTCTGATTGCCAGAGGTTTCAAACAGCCCAGTTGGGTGGTTCGTGTTTACTGTGCACTGAACGAGAGGAGTTTTCTAGTTTCAAAACAAGCAGCAGAGAACCTTTGTCAGAGGCAGGAGGATGCGGGGGCTGCGATGCAACACGTTTTCTGGTCGCTTCATAAACTGAGTGCAGTTTAGATGCTCTTTAAGGAATATTTGCTTTCACCAGCTGTTCTGTTCTGCCTGGAAATAAACTATCTCAATGACAGATGCATCTCCCAAAGCAGGAATATCGGGATACAGTGACATTTAGGAAGCAGCACTTCGGTATTCGGGAAATCATGTTATTGCTTGCACCTAAAACCCGATTTAACCACTGAATTTTTCCCATTGCAATACAGCTGAGAGGATTCACCAGACTCATTTACTTCTCCAGCTACGACGTTAGGAGCTGAGGACACTTAGCACGGCATTGGAAGGAGTTTAGTATGCAACTTATAACGTTTGTACAGGTTCCAGTTGTTGGACAGCTGGGCAGTTTCAAGTGCTTTATTCTGAATTGCCTAAATTTCAGTTGCGCAAAATAGAAGGTTTTAAATCGATGTGGAACGAACTGTACTGAAAATAGCACTTAAAAAAGGTGGGGGTGTACTTTAGTTTAGATTTTAACTCTTAAAAAAAACGGAGATTTTTACACCACCCCCCCCCCAGTTCAATTACTACCGTTTATCAAGTAAGAAGTGCTCTGCTGAAGCTGCCTGTCACATTTACCATCCGCTCTGTCACGCTGCTGTGTTTTCTGATTAAAAACCTCTGTGAAATACGGAGTTTTGCGCGCTTTTGTTACCGCTTTTTGTTGACGACGGATCATTAACCCCGGCGGCTGGCACAGGAGCAATAACCCGCAATATAAAGAGCATTAAACCCATCCGAAGCATTAAACCCGAGCAACGTAATCAGCAGGTCCCCGAGGTGGAGTGACCCAAACGCTGTTGCTCTCCGTCTTCCTTTCTTCATGTCCTGGAGGATGCTCCAAGCTTTCTCCTTCTCCAGTGCCCCGCACTCCTCCCATGGAGCAGAAATCCGCTCTTCCACCAGGATTTCTCCCATCGGAAAGGTAATATGAGTTTCTCAGTTATTTTTCACCTATGTTGCTAGAAAACCCTTCCTACCAACCCCGTTTTGAGCTCCATCAGCGTTTAATTCACGCTAAGCCAAAGTTTAAGCAGTGGCTTAATAAAACAACTGCTTTTCCGAGCAAAATGCCTCGGGTAGCCAGGAATAGCGGCGTTTATTGAGTGCCAGAAGTTCACGTTCACAGCCAGGACATGTTACACCCCGGTCACGCCTATGGCGTTAGGGGTGAGTCACTTCTGATATGCTATAAAGCCCGGTTTAAAGGTAGGGTTTATTTCCTTTCTCTGTTGCGTTTTCCCTGTAAACTACTCCATTTCTCGGAAAGAATATTGTAAATTGAAATTCCTACTGAGATATTTTGAAATGCGAAAATTGCCCCAAGAAGTTCATGGTTACTACAGGAAGCCTCTGGGAAACCAAGGGAGGAATCAGGTGGTGGGTTACATGCACCTTATGGGGTCTGCAGGTTATACAAGGCGCCTTGTTGCTAGGGCTGGGTCAGCTAAAACCAGGGAGAAGGTCAGTAAAACCAGGGAAAAGTCTTTACGTTTCCTGAGCGAGGAGAAAATAACGTAAAGCGAGTCTCATTGACAGGGAATCCTGGCACCGCACAAGGATTCTGGTGTCGGATGTGGTTGCAGAAGTCGCTGGTGTGATTTTTCCCAAGTAGCCTGGCAACATCAGAGGGTCCAGGTTCACAAACTCGCCTCTTTGGGAAGATAACAGGATACGAACCTGCAGTGTGTGGGGTGGAACGAAATCCTTCCGAAGGCTTTTATTGAGACATGAGCCAAACGAAGAGCGAGTTTGCCAGGCAGGAGCAGAGATTGTCCTGCAATAGCCCAGGGAGAGGCAGTGACCAATATAGGATCGAGGTGAGGTGGATACATAGAAATAAATACAGCAAGCACAGAAACATGGGAAGAAATGGAGCAGGAGCTGTCGCTGTACCAGGATTCACCCTGAGCGGGCTGCGGGAGCACAGAGCTGTGGGGAAAGAGCCTTCTCCCCTATTTCTGTTCCACGGATGAGCAAAGCCGTTGCACTTGACCTTTGTTTCTGAATCACCCTCGGAACAACGGCGGGGGCTGTGGAATTCCTTTGGGAAAGGGCCAGATCCTGCAAAGAGATCCTACAGGGGGAAAAAAACGGATTTAATGTGTGGCAGCAGCTTGCTGAGAGGGTGGAAAGGGCCGGTCTGGCACCGGGGGGGGGGGGGGGGGGGGGGGAGAGAGGGGGAAAGCCCCTGAGGGTTCAGGGACTTCGGAGGGGGCACCCAACTCAGGAAATAACTGCACATTTAGGGACACGGAAAGACTTTCCTTCCAGTTTTCAGCGTGGGGAGAGGGGAGGAATCAGCGCTTTATTCCACGGTGGGAGGTGGAATGAGCGTCGTAGGAAGCGCCGCTGCGTAGTTGGCGTGAAGAAGGAGTTAAACCGCTGGAAGCCCACCGCTTTTTAGCTTTGCGAAGAAAGCAAAGGCTCTCCTCCACGAACGTACCTGGCAGCTCACTGGGCAGCCAGAAGCAGCCACGTATTATCATCGACTTCCTACAGCGCTGAAATGCCCTCGGTGGCGGGGGGGGAATAGCAATAGCCAGCGAGGGGAGGGAAGAAGCTGCGGCGTTTATTTGTGAGGACTGTTACACCGTGGCACGGCATAAAAACGGGGGGGGGGGAATGAAGGGAGCAAGAGCGAAAGGGAGAGAGCCGGGTTCCCCGCCAGCCTCCAATACACACGCATTCAAAATGTCGGTGCAGCTCCCGGAGGGCTCCCCGAGGGGGGGGGCGGCCGCAGGGTCGGGGCAGGTCGGTCGGCCCCGGGGGGAGCGGGGGGGAGCGGGGCAGGGGGTGGCGCGGCCGGCCCCGAAACCGTTATTTCAGCGCTGCGGTTCCCCTGCCCTCGCTCTTCCTGTCCAAACAGTTTTAAATTTACGCGCCTTCCCCAACAGTCTCATCTTATTTATTTTGTTTCCTCCGCCGCCGCCTCGCGTCCCCCCGTCCCCCCGTCCCCCCCCATCCCCCGATGAACGCCCCCCGCCCGGGGGCAGCCGCCGCTCCGCGTCCCCGCTCCGCCGCACCGGGCACCCCGCACCCGGTACCCCCCCACAGCCCCCCGGCCCTGTAACTGCTTGGGGCCGTCGCGTTTCTTCGCTATTTGGAGCCCCTTTTCCTTCCAGCCCTCCCCTTCTCCTGCTTCTGTTCTCTTCCCTCCCGCTCCCCGCAGCCCGGACTGGAGCCTCCTCTGCATAACCCCGGTGCCTCCGCAGCCCCTCCGCCGCAGTGAGTACCGCACAGAAAGGGACCCACGTCTCGCCGGGGGGGGACGGTTATGACTCGTATCTGTGGCTGCTGCCCGGGCTGCGGCGCTCCCGGGCTTCCCTCCCCGCTAACCCCGAGGTTTCAGGGATGCACAAGCATCTCTTCCTACATAGAAGACAAACAGCGGCAGGTTTATCTCCAGGTTTCCTTAACAAAACGGGAAGCAAGGTGGATCTGCCAGCCTGAGCGCCTTTTGTTGGAAATGACAGGGAGCAGAAAGAGCAGGGAAGCAAAATGAATCAGCAGCCACCCTTCTTGGTTTCTGTATCACAGAGGCGAGGAAATTATCTTGCGATGTGAACCCCACGGCACGTTTCTGAGAGCCACATGTGCCAAGTCTGCCTCTGCAGACCTGATTTACAGAGCTCCACTCGAAAAAGAACTAACTTCTGCCATGGCCCTGAGGGGTAAGATGGCTCCTTGCGTTTTGAAGAAGCACCAAGTGCAAATCACCAGGGAGGTTTCCCAGTGCTAAAGGTCACTGTTTGTCACCCTGTGCTTCTTCCCAGAACGTTTGAATTACCTTTCAGCACGGTATCGGTTGTAGTTGTGCGAAGTTCATCTTAAGGAATGACGAGGGAGAGAACTCTCCTGGGTTGGATACTTCAGAATAACCTTGACCTTTCATTAGTGCTTATCCTAAATCAGGCAGGGAAAGCAGGGAATTGGGCAAGGCACCTGCAAAAGCATAGATGGAACGTCTCGGGGTTGAAAGGAGAGTTAAAATGGGTTCTGAATCCCACACAGCCAGGGACACTGAGGGGCTAAAAGACAAAACCCAGAGCTCGCAGGCAAAATTCAGCCTGAGACACATACAAAGACCCCGGGTTCATTTCCTCAGCCCCAGATGCATTTTCGGCCGTCAGTCCAATCAGCACTGCTGAAACTCAGACTGCCAAAAAGGGTAAATTCCCTCTGAAAGCAACTGAATCAGCCAAAATCAGCTTTTCAGGGAAGTACAAGACCACTGAACCATGTTTCCAGTCGCATTTCTTTATGCCTCTGTAACTGCTTTCTGATATTTGCAGAAGCAATTAGGAGGGCTGCTGGTATTTATGAGTATTTTAAACAAACCAGCTTCATTCTGTGTGGGAAGCATGAACCATTCTGCTTTTCAGTGCGGCCACTAAAAGGTTAAAGTCAATGCAGAGCTCCTGGTGAAGTTTTCCTTCAGCAGATAGTGCCTATCAAAATGGTCTTTCTTTCTCCTGTTACACCCTGAGAGCAGAAAACGGGGCAGCATTTATATGGCAAAGCAGCCCTGTCACTCCTCAATATTAAGATCAACACAGTGATATTTTAATGAACACTTTCATCCACGGAGCTAATGAATGTTTAAAGGAAAAGATACTCACCCAGCCCAGACCACAGTAAAATGTGATGCCCTATAGAAATGCTGAGTGTTCGGAAGCTTTTAGGGTTTGACCCTACAAGAGCAATTCTGGGTACACATCACATTTACACGCAGAGTATAGTGCAGGCTGGAATGAGGGCTTCTGCTAAAGTTAACTGTCATTTTCTGGTGAGGGAGGATCACATGTTTAGGCCTTAAGTTATTAACATCTATTCTGATGGAAATAGGGACATTTGGGTACACTTTGTCAAACCCAGGGGAGTGCTTTCTGCTTTAGGTATGTTGCCACCGAGGTGATGTGCCACCGCTTGAATAGCTGCACTTCCCAATCCGGCATGCCAGGACAGGAGCATATTGATCGGTCATGAACTTTTGCTTCTATTTAGTAACGCTGGAGAGCAGGCAGAGGGGATTTTCAGTCCATGCTGGCTGGAAGAGCAGCAGGCCTGGAAACCGAGCTGTTAACTGTGAATGCGTCCTACAAAATGGATTATTTCTTATTAATTTCTGAAAGGAGAAGTCCACTCTGCTAGAAAAAAGCAGCTTTATATCTGGACACACCATAGTTCTCGAGGGTGTGACTGTAGGTGTGTGCAAATAAAGCTGTATTTAATCTCTCTCAGGGAATTTTATAGAGAACATCAGTGAAAGAGAAAAGTGTATTTGTTTCATGAGCGCTGTAACTTTTAATGATACCACCTCCTTGCTTCAACATATATGCTCTAAATAGTGTGATGCCTGTGGATTTCTCAGATGTAATTTGGTTTAGCTCTTGTAAAATAAGGGCTGCAGACAAAAAAAGCTGTGCTACCCTGTCATATATTCACAGCATTCACAATCCAAGCACTGCATGCCTATATTGGAGTGAACAACAATTTCCTTCGTGTACCAGCATTTTAATTTATGGAAACATATTGTTTTGTGTAAAGAAGGTAGTAGATAATTAACTGTATTCATTTCATCTAATTATAGGCCTCTGAGGCAAAAAGCTGACACTTTTCATTGTGGTATATTCAGAGAAGTTAATTGAAAAAACATTGCAGCCACAAGGCATAACATGCCTATCGTATATTTGATACTAATTCTTTTCTCAAAAATGGGATGAATCTGATGCTCGCTCGAGATAAGGATTACTGTTACTCACTCGAGTAAGGCAAAATCTGGGGAAGCTCGTTATGCAATGCTGCAGTGCACTGCAATATCTCTGCAATTCCAGAGCTAACCACAGACAACTTAATTTGCCAAATTGCGAGATGGTTTTGAAATGCACACAAGTATCTATTACAAATTAAGGAAAGATTGAGCACATTTGTAGCTGGGACGTAGGTCAGAATTCGAACAGAGATCTGCTTTGAGAAGCAATAGGTCAATGTATCAGCTCCTAGCTCTGTTTAATCTTTAGGAGGAACCAAGTAGTAACAGCAGCCTTACCCCTTGGAGTTGTTACTCGGAGTGTAATATGTGTTTTTAAGCTATCAGTATGGCAAACAGATAAACAGCAAAGCAACGCTTGCAGCTCCCAAGGATACAAAGCATCAGGCCTTTTGCAGTTTCAGGGTCATTTTTCCTATCACCTGATACACACCAACAGCTTAATCTTCTGACAGCAGTGCTACTTTCATTCTCAAAAGGAAAGTAAAGCAGCTCAGCTCTGCAAAGCTTGCCTCCCAGCTGACAGAGAACACAACAGACCAGACATACTGATTGTGGGGAAGCATTTGCCGTGTATGTTAAAGAAATTCCAGCTTTCAAGCTGAATCATCATCTTAGAGGCAAATATCACCATTCCCCCCTACTTTTGTCACTGGAGGAGTGTAACTCTGGTGTCTCTGCAGCTCTAGCAGCACCACGAGCAGGACACCTCCAGCTGCTGAGCACCCTGGCCCCTGCTCCAGGGGCCTCCATTTCTGCTCTGCCCGTGGGCATGCTGAGCCCACCCAGCCCTCTCCATCTCTCTCTTGCCATGTCTCCAGGCGGTGCTGCTCTTAGCTGGTGGGAGATGACACTGCAAAGGCATCACACTGTGATGAAGTGTGCCTAATTACTGCGGTGGTGGTGCTGCTAGCCCCCTTAGGTGATAAACAACCGCAGTGGAAGGCCACCGAGCTGATCCCAGGGCTTTGCTCTGCTCTGCCCTGCCAGGGAGAGGCATTGCTGGCAGCCCCACGTAGAAGTCCAGAATTACTTGTTTTCAAATGTATTTTACGGAGATGTTTTTCACTGTGGCTAAAAAGGCAGCAGATTGCACTTTAGGCTCTTCAAATGTTTGTTAATAAAGTCAGAGGAAGTCTGAAAAGTAAACAGATGGTGACACGCGGTCACCTTAACTCTGGAGCTCTGGCTCGAGAGATCCAGAATATTTGATAAAGAAGTTCTCTAACAAGAAAAAGAAGTGTGGCTATAGATAGCCATACCCAGCTCCTGCTCCTACACCATTACAGATAAATCACGATTTGCACTGATGTCAGACTCAAAACCCCAGCCTGTTCTTTAGGAGTTCAGCCTGCAGCCACACTCCTCCTCTCCCTTGGTGCTCCTAACTAATCTTCCTTCTGCCTGGCTCCTGCCTTCTCTTTCTCCTCTGTGGTTTTGTCAGATTACTCCCAGCTCTTGCTCTTTCATGATTCGTTTATACATCCATTCCATGGCTCCTGCCTTTTTCCACTCTTCATGCCCTGTTTTCACCTCCTAGATTCCTTTCCTTCAAATGCACATCCAGCCTCTATTTTGTTGCTTAATTACTTCCCCTGGCATCTTATCTTTATCTCCATCATGCTTATTAACCTCCTTGTGTATCATACCCTTTCCCCACTGCATAGCAGAATCTCATTATGTAGATATGTATAATCTTTTTTTAACCCCTAGTCATGAAGAGCTGCTTCCACAACTGATTTCCGTCTATGATGTCCTAGGAGAAGTCCTAGCACTGGTCAATAATAGTTGTCTCCTTGGCTCTTTCAGCTGCTCCTGCTTCTCACTTTCCTCTCCCTCCCATGCTCTGCCTCCTCCCAAACTCTTTCACCTTGGTGACCCAGCCTTCTTTCCTCACTGCCTCAGCAGCAACAGAAGAAAGGGAGATGATACACACAGGGGAGATGATGCACACAGGAGTACCCAGATGTCACAAACATTAATCTCTTAGGAATGCAGGAGGAGATATAGCAGAGAAAGGCTGCTTGGTTCCCAGTGCCTCAGGCGAAGAGCGTACTGGGTTGCTCTGTGAAAGAGCTGCACATGGTGCCTGCACGCCAGGCGGATGCTGAACACGGAATGGCTCTGTCAGCACAGGCTCATCTTTGGAAAATTTAGCTGCCAAAAGCTAACAATTCTTAACCCATCACGTGCAAACCGAGATGCTGTGGAGCCTTCTGACTTTGTCATGTTCGGATGCGCATCTGTGAAGCCACAGCAATGGTGCTGCCAAATTCCAAGTTGCCACTGAAGAGGTACATGGATGAAAGCAGGCCAGTGATGGTGCTCCAGTTCAAATTCCTTCTCTTGAGAAATGGGGATGCTGATAGTTCTGAATGAGGCAACTGGGTTATTATTTTTTAATATGGGCAAAATATTGTTTTAACCTTGTTCTTGAAAATGACTACAGTGGTTTAGCTGGGAACTGCCAAACCCCAAACCTGGGGCAGATGCTTGGCTCGGAAAATACCAGCCCAAATGGTGACAAATAAGATGTTATTAAGACACAGTGGACACGATTAAGCAGAGCAGTTCCGTGACTTTGGCCTCAATTTTTAAGTGACCTGTAATGAATTTCTTAATACCAACTTTGCTGCAATAAGCAGAATCCAGTCAGAGTTCACATTTTGGGGTGAAGACATTTCCTCTGAAAATAAAGGTTATGATCCAGAGTGCTCTGCTGTGAAGAGGGAGAGGAAGGAGTGTGCTGGGGCTGAGACTGGGAACACTGGGGCTGAAGGCTGGAGCAATTTCTTTGGCAACAAAACCAACTTGAAAGACCTATAGAAGTGCAGAAATAAGTTATCACAAGGTATTCTATGGAGATGAAGCTTTATGGAGACAGCAGGGAGAAGTGGGGGAAAGGAATTGCTTCTGATCAACAGAATTCTGATCAATTTTCCTCCAAGAACATCAGAGCAAAAGAAAGGGAAGCCCAAATATTTTGTTAGCTCTGGGGTTCTTAAATACCCCAGCTCTGTTCTGCAGGTGCCAACGGATTGAGCCCACAGAGTGAAGCAGGTACCCTTGCCCCACACCCTCACTAGTGCAGTTTACTATCACAAGCCCCAGGGAAAGCACAATCTAACAGCCCTTAAAGGTGCTCCCCATCTCCCAGAGTTGGCTGCTTACCTTCATACACCAAACTGAAAACTATGGGTGTTTGGGTGCTGCTCTATACGTCGAAGCGTCCCTGCAATGGTGACGGATGTCAGAGCAGGTTGGACAGCTGAGGGTATTACCTGGTTCAGTCATCTGACTTCAACGCTCCGCTGCCTCCCTACTAGAGATTTCAAGAGTAGGTTCCCAGCAGCAGTTGCAGCTATTACCACTGAATGCTACTGTGCATTTGAAATTGCCATTCCATTTCTCTGCTATGGATGAAAGTAAGAGAGTCACACAGGTCCATTCTAATACACAATGGACTGCCTGTTAATTTGCTAGTACATTCATCACCTTTTTTGTCTACAAAATTAACACTTTCAAATTCTTTTAGCAGATCTAATGGATTCTCTGTCTCTTGTTTGCCTGGAAGATGGGCTCTTGCTTGAAAAGAGCTTAATTCAGGAAGTCCTGTGGCCTTTGTTTTGCAGGAAGTCAGATGAGGTGAAAATGGTGGTCCCTCTGGCCACTTTATCAGTCTCTGCTTGTCTAGGATTTTAAGAGCAAAACTGCACTAATGCTGTGAACTTATAACTAGTAGAGTTAAAACATTCTGAAACACCTAGCACAGCCCATGTTTGAAGAAGTTTGGTTGCATTTAAGCAAAATATTTGATGTTATTGACCATGACTGTATAAATTACAGTCAAAATAGTGGTGGCCTGTGATAACACTGCATGGAGAAAAGTATGGAATTAAAACTACTTTAATTAACAGAAACCCAGCATCTATCTTCATAAGCATCAAGCTGAAAATTCATTCTAGGTGCTGCTGCTTGGCACACAGCTTCTTTTGCTCTTCTTAGAAGTGCATGTGTTTAACATGTCCAGATTTCTTTTCAGGTTTAATATTAAACCTGAGTTGGCAGCGCTTAGTTCTGGGACCACTGCAACATTTACACAACATACCTTAATCTTCATGGTATTTCATGCTCAGCACCTTCTTCCATTTGATACAGTTTCACTTTTTTGTCTTTTTAGCTGGAAAAAAAACGAGGTTTAAGGATAGCAGGAAAATTGTCCTGACAACATGAGCTAATGAACCACAAACTGCCTTCAAAGAGAAAAAGTAGCAGGAAGTTCTTTCATACCAGGTATTAAAAATAGACTGCCCCAAGTCCTGGAATGCACACGGCAGTTATGTAACGATCTTTCAGTGACATGCATTAGGAAATATTCCCAGTAAAAGCTTCTCTTTCCTAACACCCAGTTTTACCCCTCTGAAGCTTGGAAACTCTTCATATGGATGCTTCGAAGAAGTCTGAAATTACAATGTCCATTTGAATAACCTATCAATTAGCAAGCCACATAATGACACCATCTAATGGTACAATTGAAGTATTTGAATTTAATATAGTGTTTTCATAATAGTACAATATGAAACACATGATGGAATCCAATTCCCCCCCCCCCCCAGTTAGACTTGATTTTTTTCTGACAATGTAATAACTTTGCACTGGAGCCACCAAAGAGATAAATCAGTTTGGGTCCATATCTTAAGTAATGAGAACACCAGCTATCTTGGAGCACTAAGTATTTCACGTGTTTCAAAAAGGGTTACTTGTTTTTAGGTGCCTTTGATAAGTGGCAGGCATCTGTGGAGGACTGACAGGAGCCATAAGAGCTGTACCTAGCTTCTACCATGTTGAGGAAACTAAATGGTGAATTATTGTGAACTAAATTGGAAATTATTCCTCAGGCTTTTCCCCAGAGACTGAGGAGCCTTCCCAGAGGTCTAAGCTCTGGATCCTGAAAGTATGATTTGAGAAGGAAATAAGGAGATGGAAAATAATTAAAGTCTAACTTTTGGATTTTCAGTGTCCTATTGTTTTCTTGGATTACTTAATGTTCATAACACAGCCCTAGCATCCTCTGCCTATAGCAAAAGCACCATACAAGGTGAGCAACATACTTCCTTGTCTGCCCAAAGCCTGGTCTGCCTTTTCTAATGTCTATTAAAAGACATAAGCCCTACCACAACCTTTAGACTTCCACAGCCACCATGAAGTTATCTCTAACATTATTGATTTCAGTTTATACTTCAAAGACAGCAAAACTCCCCAGTGTGAAGGCTCACAGGTCCCTCTCACCCTGGTTAGTACCTAACTCACGCAGTGTCAGTATTTCCTAGGTTGCCACATACCAAGGTGTATCCAAAAGCACAATTGCAGTTTTCATCATCCACTCCTGTCAGAGATGGAGAGTGATAGGAAGCAGTATAGTGGGTGAAATTCTGCTCACATTTTGGCTCCTACTAATAAGGTTTTCCCAACTCGTGTAATGGAAATTAGATTCAGGATCTCCTAAATGACTTATGGTAAAGCAATATGAGGGTTTGTTTTTTTTTCAGATGAGTAGAACTCCACTCTTAGTGTTGGGTCTGGCTCTCCTGAGATGTCTTTAAAATATTTTCAAAGCCAAAACTGCTTTTTGTGGAGCAAGTAAAGCTCCACACTGTTCTTTGTGAGAACACACAGAAACTGACTGAGGTACAATCAGAGAAAACATCGGATTTATTTCCTCTCCTTCTTGTTCTGCAGAATGGCAGGGTTAAAAATTCCATATTTGATGGGTGGAAAAAACTGTACCACATTCAAAATATTGCATTTTGGGAAGATACATAAATAGTAACAGCAGGAGCACGAATGAGCCTCTTGGAGGGAACCTGTCTGTTTGGTAAAATAGTGAGAAACATCTTAATAGGCAATCTGAAAGAAAATTAAATAGGGCACATGGAATCCAGGTCCAAAATCTGTATCAGAAGAAGAAAGTGAGTATCAGAGCTGAGAGAAAAGTTCTGCTTTTCAAAAT